GCTATTTCGGTGCCCCCGCAGCTGTCCGTCCCTCCGCCCCCGCGGCCCTGCCACCGCGCTCCCTCCCACGCTCCCGGGACCCCAGCCAGCAAAGAGGGGGGCACGGACAGGGACAGGCGCCTGCATCCTCCGCGTGCCACTGAGGCCAGAGACGTGCCGCTGTGGCTGAACTGCCGGATCCCCGGGGATGGTCCCCAGTGGGGCAGGAGGGGTCACAGCCCCCCAGTTCCTGTCCCATGGTAGGGGCTGGGATGACAACCCCCTGGGAGCAGCCTCTGCTTACTTGGGGGGGCAATGGGGGGGGACACAACCTCCCCACTGTCGGCCGCTCGCCAAGCGGGTCCCACTAATGTGCTGTCAAGTATTAATTACCTTCCAGCGGGGCTGGGGTCAGGACCTGGCGAGCAGATGGGATGGGGGGAAAGAGCAGGTGGAGAGGGAGATGGATTTGGTCCTGGGAGCTGTGGGGAGGAAGGCGGTCATGGGAAATGGGAGGAGGGATGGGTATTATTGTGGGAAATAGGGGGAGAGAGATGGTGGTGGGAAACGGGGAGTGAGAGGGAGATGGTTGTAGGAGTTGGGAAGATGGAGGGGTGATGGCTGTGGGAACCGGGGAGAGGGAGGGAGATGGTCCTGGGAACTGGGGAGAAGGAGGGAGACGGTTATGGGAAGTGGGGAGAGGGAGGAAGACGGTTATTGGAAGGGGGTCGAGGGAAGGGTATGTCCCTGAATACTGGGAGAGAGGGAGGGATCCAGCTCGGGAAATACGGGAAGAGGGAGGATGCTGGGGCAGACACAGCCCCCAGTGCAGGCAGAGGGATGAGCAGGATGCCCCAACCCTCGTGCGCTGTGCTCCCCCTGCTCCTACCTGGGGAAATGTCCCCAGCACCCCTGGCTCCATGTGTGTCCCCCCCTCCGGCAACACCCCCATGGCTGACTGCTGCATTTCGGCACGGCCGGTACTTCCTTGGCAGGACACCGGGCGCCTGTGCCGCCAGCCGGGCTCTGACAGCCCCATCCCAAAATAGACCCCCCCAGGAACACGCCCCGCTGAGGGGGCCCAGATGTGAGTCAGAGCTGGGGGGGGACAGCGGGAACACGGGACGGGGGGCAATATGGCTGGGGGTGGTGGCGGAGGGGTCTCGGTGTGGGGACAGTGTCTCCTGGCATTGGTGCCAGCCCCACGGGATGACGCCTCAGTCCTGGGGATCGGTGCAGGCCAGCAACTGGGGCTGGTGTCTCCCCCCATCCCCAAACCATCCTGTCCTACACCTGGGGGTCTGGTGCCCACAGCTTGCTCCTGGTCCCTGCCCCACACCCCCGTGGGAGCCAGCTGGCATGTAGGTGGGAGAAGCCGGAGCTGTGAGATGCTGCGTGACTGGGGGGACATGACAAAACAGGTCCCCCACATCCTCTCAGGAAGGTGGCACTGGGGAGGGGAAACTGAGGCAGGTAGAAGGATGCCTGTGACTTGCTGCGTCCTCCCGGGATTCCACTGCAGTGGGGTGAGAGGTCATGGCCAGGCTGGGGCAGGGGCTGTGCTGGGACGTGGTGGTGGTGGGGGGGGGCCTGTGGCAATGGGGGCACAGGTGGCGTGTGGTTGTGGTATGGCTGGGCTGTGTCTCGGCAGGGTGATGGCAGGACCGAGCTGTGTCATGGCATGGCTGGGCTGTGGCGTGGCGTGGTCAGGATGTGTCCTGGCGTGACCGAGCTGTGTCATGACATTGTTTGGCCGTGTCGTGACATGCTTAGAGTTGTGTCGTGGGATGACATCGTGATGCCATCGCATGGGGGACAGGCAGACAGGATGGGGTTGGGCGTGGGGGGACAGACAGACGTCAGGGAGCACGGCTTGGGGAAGCAAAGCGGATTGGTCTGATGAAGAGGCAGCACTGTGAGGAAGGACAGACGGACGGGATGGAGTATTGCATGGTGGGGCAAACAGAGGTGGCATGGGGCAGCTGTCACAGGGGACTGTGGACATGGGCAGACAGACAGCATGACGCATGGCATGGAGGATGGACAGAACAGGGTGCATGGGTGGATGGACAGACAGCACAGGCAGGGACAGCCAAGATAAGCAGCTAGGCGCGTGGGGACCGATGGACCAAGGGCTGTGTGGGATGGATGGAGGGATGGACAGATGGACAGACGGATGGACAGACCATGGAGGGACGGATGGACAGAGCGTGGCGCTGGGGACAGGCCCCTTCTCTGGGTGGACGAGCAGCACAGGGACAGACAGACAGTGCAGAGCAGCATGCTGAGGGACAGCCAAGAGGCCTGCACCCTGCTTCCTCACCCTGCATTGGGTGCACCGAGCCCGCCGGGTTCTGCACGGCTCAGCCCCCATCCCTAGCTCCATCCTGTCCGTCTGTCCCCCAGGTGATGCACTGTCTGTCCCCTCTCCCCACCCTGCCTGTCTATCCTCCTATACAACGCTTTGTCTGCCCCTCATCTCCAGCTCCACCCTGTCTGTCTGTCTCCCCGTGCAATGTCCTGTCCCCCCATATCCGTTCTGTCTGTCCCCCCGTGCAATGCCCTGTCTGTCCCCCATCTCCAGCTCCATCCTGTCCGTCTGTCCCCATGTGCAATGCCCTGCCTGTCCTGCCTTCTGCCTATCTTTGGCCCTCGGCACGCGTTGGGGCTGACACATGTTCCCTGTCCGCAAGCGGCAGAGATTAGCGCGGGCCGGTGGCATGGGAGCGGGCAGGAAAGTCTGAGTCACAGCTTACGGTGCTGGGGGTGGCCGTGGGGCTGGGGGCACCCAGCCGTGCCCTGGTAGCACCCAACCCTGCTGGGACACACAGCGGGGGACGCAGGTGAGGCACGCACCGCTCCTGGGCTGCTTGGTTGTCCCCGTGCAGCCCTGAGCGACACTCGACCCTGCCTTCTGCTTCTGGCTTGCTTGCATGGCCCTCTTGGCTCAGCCCCACGGCAGCGGGGGGTGTGTGCGTCGGGGGGACGGGCTGGTTGTCCCAGCCCTGCACACCTGGAGGTGCCCGTAGCGGTGACCTCGCTGTGGCTGCACCAGCGCAGGGGACTGCAGGTAGTGGGATGGGAGAAGGGACCAGGGTCCTGCTTCAGGGCTGGGGATGGAGGAGCAAGGAGTCATCCCTGACCCCTTGCAATGGGGGGATGTGGGGAGAGGGTAAGCCCTGACCCCTTGCAAAAGGGAGGATGAGGGGACAGGTAAAGACAGGCTGTACCCCTTGCACTGGGGGATGTGGGGAGGGAGGGAGCCAGCTCTGAACCCTTGCAATGGAGGGGGTGTAAGGTGGAGAGAGTGGGACTCCTGATTGCTGCCGTGGGGTGATGTGGGGTGCGATGCGCAGCTGCCTGTCCCTCCTCTGGGCAGTTCTGGGGCTCACTGCCTCACCTCTGGGCTGTGGTGTGAGGCTGACCTCCCTCCTACATCAGAGTGCGTGTCCCAGCTCCCTGTGGCCCCTGTCAGGGATGCTTGGCCCTGCTGGACAGGGCCATTTTGGGGTCCTCATCACCTCTTTGTGCGGGGCTGTGCCTTTCCACCAGCTGGGACCCCTATGTCTGCACAGTGCCTGGGGGAGAGGGCTTGATCCCGGTCAGGTGCACTGTGGGGAGAGCCCCTGGGGTAGGACTGGGCTGTACTGGGTTGAGCTGTGCTGTACTGGACTGAGCTGTGCTGTGCTGGGCTGGACTGGACGGGACCGGACTTGGCTGGGCTAAACTGGGCTGGACTAGAGAAGAATGGACCAGGCTTGTCTGGGCTTCACAAGACTGTGCAGGAGTAGACTGGATTGGGCTTGGGTGGGTTAGACTGGACTGAATTGTACTGGACTAAACTGGGATGCTTCAGAGCAGGTTGGTCTGGGCTCCACCAGGCTGGGCTGGGCTGGACTGTATTGGGCTTGGCTGGGTTGTACTGGACTGAACTGGGCTAGACTGGGATGCTTCAGACTAGGTTGATCCGGGCTCCACTAGGGCTGAGCTGGGCTGCACTGGGCTGTTGCAACTGGGTGCCCTGGGGCCCTGAGTCTGGTGCTGACACCGTCTCCCCATGCAAGGGGCTGGGGATGGCGAGGCTTTGCAGCAGCGCGGGGGGCTTGGCTCTCCCCAGGGCCCATGGAGGAGTCAGATGAGGACGGGGAGGACAACGAGGAGTTCCTGGAGCGGCTGATGGTGCAGACGGGCCGGGAGATGCCACAGCGGGAGCTGGAGGAGCACTACGCCGTGCTGGAGGAGCTGGGCAGCGGGACCTACGGCCGCGTGGTGCTGACAGAGCCCCGGGATGGTGGTGAGGGGGCACGGAGGGGAGGATGACTCTGCTGCTGGCTGGGGGAATCTGCTCCCCAGATGCGCACAGACGTGCACAGCCCCACCACGGCACCTGACCCACCCCAGACAAACCCCAGCTTTGCCCAAACCACCCCATGACAGACCTTGTCTCTGCCCGCCTCGGTGTCTCAGCTGATGCTGACCCCCCCCTTCGCCTCCCCCGCCCTTTGTTTCCCAGGCTCACCAGTGGTCCTCAAGCTGATGCTGAAGGAGCAGACGGAGCGGCGGGCGTTCCTGCGGGAGTATTGCATCCCCCTGTGCCTCCCCAGCCACACCGCCTGCCTGCGCGCCCTGCCCATCGCCTTCGAGAGCGCCACACACTTCGCCTTCGGGCAGGAGCTCGCTCCCGCTGGGGACCTGTGTGCCCTCCTCAACCCAGGGGTGCGTGCTGCCCCGGGGCTTTGTGCAGGAGCCGGGTGGGGGCCAGGAGGGGTGGGAGGACGGAGGAGAAGGTGCCGGGACAGCTTTGCAGGGGGTGACGTGACGCTGTGTGTGTGTGCAGACCCTTTGCACAGTGAGCACCCACCTACACTGTGTGGGCAGACCCTCGTCCGGGGGGGTGCACGCCCACGCTGTGCGTGGAGGGAGACCCTTTGCAGGGGGTACAGTGACATTGACTGTGGGGATGCCCTTTGCAGTGGGTGTAGTGGCACTGGGCATGGAGAGGACACTTTGCAGCGGGGTGCAGTGACACTGTGTGCGTGGGGAGACCCTTTGCTCTGAGCACCCACTCGTTCCGCCCCAGCAGACCCTTTGCAGTGGGGTGCATGCCCACACTGTGCATGGGGAGAGACCTTTTGCAGGGGGTGCAGTGACGTCGTGCACGAGAGGAGACCCCTTGCAGTGGGTTGCAGCGATGCCATGCATGGGAGGAGATCCTTGCAGTGGGGTGCATGCTCCCGCTATGCATGGGGACGGCTTTTGCAGTGCAGGTCTGTGGCTACAGGTTGCTGTGGAGCAAAGCATGGGCCAGCGGTGCCGGGCAGGGGTCTGGATGCTGCAGCAGCCCCTTCGGGGAGGTGGCTGTGTGGCGGGTGACGGTGCCACCCTGCCTGCAGGAGGGCCTGGCGGAGGAGCTGGTGAAGCGCTGCGTGTCCCAGCTGGCCGAGGCGCTGGATTTCATGCACAGCCGTGCCCTGGTGCACCGGGACGTCAAGCTGGACAACGTGTTGCTCTTCGACCGTGAGTGTCGGCGGGTGAAGCTGGGCGACTTCGGGCTCACCCGTGTGCAGGGCTCAGCCGTGGGTGCCATGTCCGGCACCCTGCCCTACTCCCCGCCAGAGCTCTGTGTGCTCCAGGGCTCCGACACGCTGGAGCTGGACTCCAGCCTGGATGTCTGGGCCTTCGCTGTCCTGATCTTCTGCCTCTGCACTGGCTGCTTCCCCGGGGCCGTGGCTGCCAGCTCCGACCCCCAGTTCGAGGACTTCAGCGCCTGGCAGGGCGGTACGGCAGGGCAGGGGGTGCCAGCGTCCTGGCAAGGCTTCGGCTCCGGGGCGCTGGAGATGCTCCGGCGCTTGCTGACACTGGACCCCGACCGCCGGAGTCCGGCCATCGAGGTGCAGAAATACCTGTCCCTGCCCTGGCTCATGGCTCCCAGTGCCGGGGAGCCAACACTGAGCAGCTCCCAGTCCCCCCTTGCTAGTGGCATGAGGGAGAGCCCGGGGGGCACTGGGATACGGGATGCTGCTGGTGGGGGTGACGGGGTTCCCATGCCCCCTGCTAACGCCCTTGCCCCATGCTGGTAGCCAGCATCTGCCTCCATCTCGGGGCGTCCCTGCCCTGGCTCATGGCTCCCAGTGCCGGGGAGCCAACACTGAGCAGCTCCCAGTCCCCCCTTGCTAGTGGCATGAGGGAGAGCCCGGGGGGCACTGGGATACGGGATGCTGCTGGTGGGGGTGACGGGGTCCCCATGCCCCCTGCTAACGCCCTTGCCCCATGCTGGTAGCCAGCATCTGCCTCCATCTCGGGGCTGGTACTGCGGCAGGCAGTCCTCGGGGGTATGGGCTCCCTGTCCGATGCCGGAGGTTTGCTGGGCTAGGCACGGGTTGCAAGCGCAGGAAGGAGAAGCGATGCCTTGGGCAGCACCTGGAGACCCCAGACCTGCAGCTGGATGCCCAGCACCTTGCAAATCGATGTCACTCAAATCGGTCCAGCCGAGCAACTGTTGCACAGCTCTGAGACGCACAAGGGAAACCCAGGGCAGGAGCAGCCTGCATGACGACAGAGAGAAACAGGAGGAGAGCACTTAATCAGGAATTAAAGCTGTTAAGGCCGATGCAAGACTTTGGCAGAGACAGAAGGTGAAACTGCTTAGCAGAGAAACCCAGAAACACGTCTGACCTTGACCTCCTTCCTGCACCTTAGGGATGAGGAGGTTGTCACGGGCTGCTGTTAATTAGGGAAGATGCTAACCAGCCTCCTGGGGGTTAACTGCTGTAATTAAGGAGAGATGCTAAATAACCTCCTGGGGCTTAAGGAGCTGGGGAAAGGAGTGTAAAGCCCCCAGGGCATGCAGCTGAGCTGAGCTGGGGTGTGATGGGGCTGCGAGGAGCTGCTAGGTGGATCCCTGGGGCTTGAGTTAAAACCTGACAAACATGGGATCAGCCTTTGAGCAAAGCGATGGGCAAGGTGATTTGCACTGGTAAGGGCTGGATGTGGGTCGGTTGATAGTGCAAAAGGGCAAAGAGACACAAAGAGAGAGGGAATGGAGATGGCTCTGGGTGTGCAGGAGGGGACGCACACAAAAATTGGCTTCAATGGCTGCAAATATTCTCCATCTCCGGCATGGGAGAGACTGGACAGGCTCTGGAGGAGAGTTTGTGGGGTGAGCTCGTGGTTTGGAGGCTGGACAAACACTTGCCCAGGCTCAACCAGCCATCTGGTCCCCTCTGGCCTTCCCACCGGGGCTGCTGGCAACCAGGAGGAGAGCAGTGGGGTCCCCGCAAGCTTTGGCACCTAACCTTGGTGCCGCACCATGTGCGGGCAGGGCTCTGCCTGCCTGCTGGGGAGCACCCTCCTGGGGTTCTCCTGCACCCCTTTGAGCAGTCCGCACCTCTGTTTCGGGACACATGGCTTCTGGAGCCTCTGCCTGGGACCCATCCACCCTCTGCCTGGGGAGCCCATGCCCACCCCTCCCTGAGGACCCCCAACAGGCTGGGGGACGCTGTGCTCTCCCCTCGGCAGAGGATCCATCTCTCACACCACCAGCCCTGGTGCAAAGTGGAAGAGGAGGAGGAAAATTGGCTGAGAGGCTGAAGCTTAATAAAATTCTCTGTTGTTTTGCCTTTTTTTTTTTTAACTGTATTTTCCTATGAACCTGCTGCTTGAGCCCTTAACACTGCTTTTTCTCCTCCTTGGGGCAGGCAGGCTCTGAGCAAAGGGGGTCCAGGCCACCCTGCCCTGCTCTGTGGTGGTGGTAAGCCTCCAGAGAGGAGAGGGCACACGGGCAGCTGGGAGGCATGCCGAATGCCCAGCTTCAGCGATGTGGAGGCTTTTCCTTTGCAGCGGCCCCCTGTGAATTACAGCCTGGGGGTGCTCGAGCCAGGGGTGGCAATGTCTGCCTGGACTGGTGGTGCTCCCTATTAGCTGGGGGTGAAAAACTCCCCCACCCCAGAGGAACTGCCTCACAGGTGGGGTCTTGCAGCCTGCTGCTGAATTTCTCCTGAGCCACATGGTTTTCCTGGCGAGAAAAATCTTCCCCAGCCCAGCACCAGTGTGCATGCCATGGAGCGTCCTCCAAAGCAAATAATGCTCCGTGGAAAAATGCATTGGGTAACTCTTGCAACAAGCAGCTCGTGAACATGTTTGCAGCACGGGTCGGTCCGCTGTCCACACAAATGCATGGCTCTAGCCCTTACTCAAGCTTCCCAGTGGCCGGGGAGAGCTGGTCCTGTAAAGCCAGACAGGGTGGTCCAGAGATGCTGCTGGCTGAACAGCAAAGGGGGCATCATGTGAGGGACAGCCAAGCCTCCTGGATGATTTAAAGGAGGGTCTCAGGGACCTTATGGGGCAGTGCAACCTTGCAGCAGCCGCCTGTTATCAGCTATGAAGTGGTGCAGACGGACCTGCAATGGAAAAAGCTTTGGCTGCATCTGTGGGGCCAGGATGGGAGAAATCTCCTAGTCTGAGCCCACCAATCTCATCTCTGGGGTACCAGGAAGGAGAAATCCCTTAGGGTCTCACAATCTGCAGTCTGGCTACTCCTTAACAGGCAAACCCTCCCATCTCCAGCCCCCAGCATCACGGTGAGGGGGCTGTGGGGGGCCGGGCTGCAAAAACCCTGGGCCAGTGGCTGGCAGAACAGTTTACTGAGGTATCCAGAAATAATATGTATAGGCACGTACTCAATCGAATGTATCGCATCTGGGTATATCCAGCAAACGCACCAAAAGCAAACCCTAAACGTGCTATTGGTCCCCAGTCCAAGCTGAAGCATCATCACATCACCTCCACCCTCCTCCTCCCCAGATGGGAGGTAATTTGGATACAAGACCTTAGAGCACATTGGAGGCTTAACTCGTGGGCTCTGCTGAAGAACAGGATTGCTCCTAATTCCTCTTTTGGGATGGATTTTTAATGGAAATGACAGGAAGGACCCATTGGGAGACTGGCACTGGTGAAGAGCTGCAGCTATCAGGCTCTTGGCATTGCTGGGGCAGGCATGGAGCAACATGAGAACAAAGCATCTTGACTGCTGCTGCAGTCAGCAGAGCTCCCAGCAGGCACTTGGAGGGTCTCAGGGGCCCATCCATGGCTTGTATTGACCTACAAGTCTTGTGTAGGCCAACCTTGCATCACCTGCCTTGGTCTGAAGCTGATGCGGCACTTCGCAGCTGGAAGACCAGGTCCAGGGGGAAATGCTTAGGACAGACCGCAGGTTTCCAGGTTTCAGGAGGTTAAAAAGTCCTAATCTCTGCATTCCTTAAAACCTATCAAAAATGAGAGGTTTGCACTTTAGAAGAGGTTGCAGAAATCCCAGCTCCTCAACCGCACAATTGATGGTCCAGATCTGTTGGCATCACCACCAGGGACCTTTCCTGGGAACTGCTCAAAACCCAGCGAGAAACAGTCAAAGAGGGTTTTTGGCTGCTTCTTTTTTTTTGGTTTTGGATTTGGTTTGGTTTGGTTGGCAGTTTTTTGGTTGTTTTTGGGTTTTTCTTTTTTTTTTTTTTTAAACTATGCTTTTCTGAGAAATGGAAATTAACTTGCAAAGTTTGCCATCGTGGGCAGATCCAGGGTTGCAGAACTGTGTTTTTAACCCCCAGAATTTATTCAGCGAGATAAAATATAGGTTACTGTCAGGGCCAATGATTTAATCTCATTTCTCTTGATTATTTTTGATGAATTGGTATTTCTCCTGAGCTGCCTCCCTCCCCAAATGACAATACAAGTGGCGGAGAAAAAATAGCATAACTGCAAAATCCTAAAATTATGTTAAGGATCTGGCAGTTCAGGACTTTAGGATCGCTTTACGTGAAATGACTGCTTGTTGCATTGACACCAACCCTTCTTTGACAGTCGTGTTAGCGGTTTTCAGGTTCTGAAAAACTCCTTTCAACTCAGCTTTGAGCCCACACCGAATTTAAAGTGGATCTTACACATTATTTAGTTTAATATTATTTTTTAGTCACTCGAGGGTTGTTGGGTGAAGGCAGCATCCTTCCACTCTGTTTTCCTCCAAGAAAGGCTCCTCCAAGAAACAATGTCCCAAGGAGTGCTCAGAAAAGGACCTGCTTCGCTGCGAAGCACCCCTGTCCTTTGCAGAAGTTTTGTTTGATAAAGTTGGGAATTGCAAAGGCCAGCGCGTTCCCCTTAGAGCTGCACTCTCCATCACGCACAGTCGTCTTCTTTTCAGCTCTGTGCAAGATCTCAACCTATAACCGGCACATGACAAGCTTCCTTCTGGTTCAGACCAGGCTGATTCCTGCTCCTTCTGGCCGTCTTTCCTTGGGAAGGGCTGTAGGCCCTCCAGGATGTTTTGTGGGCGCGCAGCTCGGGCCTCCATCCCTCCTCACAACAACCTCATCCAGCGCATGTGCTTCGCTGGGCTCCGCGCTCTATGACGTAAAGTGGGTGCAGGTTTTTGGGGGCAAGAGGAAATCTCCCTGGGGCGTGGAAGGAGGGGGGCGCACCCCCCTAAATCTCCCATTGCAGCTCCATGCCCAACGCAGGGCCAAACCTTGCTGGGATCCCTCCACAACTACTCGGGCGATGCTTTTACTTTTATCTTTAAACCAGAAAAAACATCTCCACATTCCATAGTGGTATTCAGATGTGCAACTGATCAGTTTCTCCATAAATTTAGAGAAATAGTTCAGCTCTAGCCAGGTGTTCAGCACTTGCTGGGGTTTCTGGGCTCCTCACCCTAGAGCGGAGAAGGCAATCAGCTGGGGACACGCCCAGGGGTTTATCCCAATTATTGCACACTCCTTTGATGAGTTCTAGCTGAAGGATGGGACTGACCCACCCTCTCTTTTGCTTCAGAACATGTTTTCTTAGGGAGCAAAGGGAGAGAAAATGTCCAGGTGACCTGGCTCTGTGAATATGGTGAAGTTCTCCGTCGCACCCCACTGCAGATGAGTGGCTGGGGTCAAAGGACCATGCCCATGCTTTGAGAAATCCCTCATTCAGGTTTTCCACTGAAAAAAAAAATGCTCATGAATGCACCTTCTCTCCTTCTCTGTCAGAATAAGGGGACTGAGCTTCTTTCTGTGCTTCAAAGGAAAATCATAGCCTGGAAAAGATT